TTGTCTAAGCCCATGTCTTCCAGAGTTTTACATATTTTATCTTCCAGCAGCTAAGTGTTTCTATTTTCACATTCAGATCTTTGATCTATTTTTATTTTAGTTTAGTACATGGCAAGATATATGTATATAGACCCAACCTTCCACATATGGATAACCAGTTTGCCCAGCACCATTCATTAGGAGGCTAACTTTCCTCAAGAATATGTTTTTGGCCCCTTTGTTGAAGATCAAATACTTGACTGTGTCTGGGATTGTTTCTGCTTCTTATTGATCCACATGTCTGTTTCTGTACCAGTACCACACAGTTTTATCACTGTAGCTTTGTAATATAACTTCAAATCTGGGATTGTGAGGCCTCTTGCTTTGCTATTGTTAGCCAGGATTGCTTTTGCTATTCTGAGTCTCTTCTGGTTCCATACAAATTTTAGGATTGTTTTCTCTATGTGAAGAATGCTGTTGGTATTTTGATTAGGATTGCATTAAATCTATATATCAGTTTAGAAATATAGCCAGTTTGACTAATTGGCTCTGCCTATCCAGGAACATGGGATATCTTTCCTTTTTCTGATGTCCTCTTCAATCTCCTTTTTTCAGAGTGATATAATTTTCATTGCAGAGGTTTTGCACTTCCTTGGTTAGGTTAATTTGTAAGTGCAGTAACACTTTGGTTCACAAGTGCTTCTGTTTGTGAACAGTTTAGTTAACAAACAGAATTGTTCAGCAAAATTTTGCTTCTGTTTGTAAAGTCAGCATCCAATGATAAACACAACTGTGCCAATCTTCCCCATATGAACATGAACATGGCCATCTTCCCTTAAGAATGATTCAACAAATTAAATTCATATACCAAAGTATCATTGTATTTAATTTTCTTTGATGCTACTGTGAATGGTGTTGTTTTCCTAATTTCTTTCTCAGTGAGTTCATTATTAGTGTATAGGAATGAACAGACACTCCTTAGAAGAAGTACAAATGGCCAACAAATATATGAAAAATATTCAATATTGCTGACTATTAGATAAATCCAAATTAAAACAACACAGATATTATCTTTCTCCAGAAAGAGTGACCATCATCAAGAAATCAAATAGCAACAAATGCTGATGAGGCTTCCGGGAAAAAGGAACCCTTCTACATTGTTGGTGGAAATGTAAACTAGTACAACCACTATGGGGATCATTATGGAGATTTCTCAAAAACCTAAAACTAGACATTTCACTTGACCCAACTGTTATAGTTTATGTCTTGATGTTCCCCTAGAGTATCATGCACACAGAGTAGTCCCTATGAAATCACTAGCAAAATTAGATAAGTAACTGATGTAGTATTTCCATAAATGCATGGTGCATTCCCTTTGCTCAGAGTGAATAGCAAAAATTACTCAAGCTAAGGTAGAGTAGTCAAAATGACTAAAACCGCACATTTTTATCATTCCAAACATAAGCATAGCTATGGTGGCATACTATCATAGAACATAATAATAGAAATAAATTATGTCAGTAAAATGTTGAGGTTTAAGATTCATCATGATAAATATTTTTCATTAAAGTGAAATATCTTGACAGAGTCACTTTCATATGCACAGTGTTGACACAAGGAGGCCAGCTGTGCCTATGCAGATGCTGATATTCGGGTCTGTATTATTAATGATTTATCATGTCATGGAGAATGCAGATTAGTTTTGAAAGCAATCCCTTGCCACAAAAGCACTTTCTATAATGTGCGAATGCAAGGAATACTATGTGTGCATTCCAAATTGAAGTCATCGCCGAAGATGCAGCTACCTTTGAAATTCCAGTACCTTTATCTTCTCATTTTGGAACAAGAAAATCTACATCCTAAACTATGTCATTCATTAAAATTCATGCAAAACATTTTTCCCATTAACTGGATATGGAGGCACATGCACTTGAATTAACAAACTTGTTCATACAGATGAGGGAGAAAGGACATGGACTGGACAGAAAATGTACTGCACGCTTCTCACATAACCTAAGTCTCACATCTTGAGACTTTGGATTAAGCTTCTAATCCAGTTCTGTAGGATGCCAGCATTCCACTGCCTTCCCCGCATCCATAAAAATGTTGACTAATCTCCATTTTGTCCTTGCTGTGTTCTAGGTAAGATGCTAAATACCTTACATATGTGTTATCATATTTGATCTTCACAAAACCCATTTGAAATATTATCATCACCATCCTGTTTTACAGATGAGAAGACTGAAGCCCAAGGTGGTTAAATAAATTATCCTAGGTCAAATATCTAGGGAGAGGGGGAGGATTTGAATCCAGGCTGAATAATACTCCAGAGAATTCCCTAATAGCTATGACCTTGCTGTTACCTACTCTTACAACTAAATAAGGGGTAGGATACAAGTCGTAGTCAGCAGCTACCTGTGTGACATTAACGAAGTCACTTAAACAATTACGATAATGATAATAATAACAGGACCTACAAGTGCTTAGAATGGAGTTGGTACATACATTTGGGTTAATAACTAAGGTAAAGAGTTGTTAGTTCTGGTCGTAATTTTTTATTGACAATTATGTGCAAAGATTTTCTATAATTTCCAGATGGCTTTTTTATACTTAAAACTAGATGGTAAAATAAGCATACTACTTATTATACACACAATACTGAGGTGTAATCATTAACCATATAGAGTTGAGCCTGTAAATATTTCTCTCTGGGTATGAAAATAGCGAAATATTGCCATTCAGGCGTTCACTGACTGGCCCCAAATGACACACTCGTGCCAGTACTGCTGAGCCCTGGCACACGGCATGGGTGAACCCCTTCTCTGGAAGAGCCTCCTACCAGGAAAGGCAACTCTTCCTGATGTGCCACATCAGAGAGCAGGAGAGCAGCAGACTCTGTCACCAGCATTTGTTTATTCAGTGTCCAGCACTGTGCTAGGCTCTGGGGGCTGCCAGGTAAGGAAGACAGAACCTGGCATCCAGAAGTGTTCAGTAGGGTGCCACTCTGTCTATCACCGGATTTGTTAGAGGACCACAGCGGAAGAGAGGCACTTAGTCCCACCCAGAGTTAGTGGAGTGAGGGAAATTCTGACACTTAAACATTTCTTTTGTTTTTGTTAAGAAAAGCACAAATGAAGCTGTAATGCAATATGGGGGCGCTGAAGAATTAAACAGGGTTCAAAGGGAGTAAAAGGAACTGATGGGACCAAATGCCAATCAGCTGTCACCTTGGCAGCTACGTGAGTGAGCCGTTTCCCTAGACTTCCTTCCACTGTGTCAAAATAGGAAGTATCATTTTCCTATCATTTTCTCTCTGGAAACCGGGATAAGGCAGATCCTTAGGGCAGTATTTTGATCTTCATCAGAAGGTGAGGACGCCATTCCTTCCCTGTGAGTTCATCGCCCACCTCTGGTCTCTTCCTTTGGCAGACCAAACCCGAGGGTGCTGTGGGGCTCTGGGGTGATATTTAGACTGAAAACGTGTCTGACCCAGCTACCTAACAGCGGACCCTTCTGCAACCTACAGTCTGTATTCCTAGCTCTAAGAACTAAGGCAAACTGCACTCTAAAGTAAAGTTGGCCATTACGGAATTAGAGCAAAGAATTCAAGAATCCGGAAAACCGAACGTTCCCCTCCCCGCTTTGGTGCTCAGCACTAGGCACCAGCTTTCTGTCTCCGGGTGGGTGGGGATTTGATGCCTCCTCAACCCAGTGACCGCCTCCTTTCATCTTCATTCAACGCACAGCGTCCTCTGCCTGCAAAGGGCTTCGCGGGCTCTCTTGGTGGGGAAAATGCGGAGAGCGTGGTCGCCAGCATAGAGGCTCAGCTTTCTGGGTCAGAAGTTGGCTGAGGAAGGGCCCTGACTGCCAAGTAACTCGAGGCCATGTCAGAGCCCTGCTCAACCACAAAACGCCCTCCAGCCCCCCAACAAAAGACTTCACAGCAGAAAAATCACAGAGCTGGGTTGCCAAAGCGGTTCTTCCCAGCCCCTTCCCTTTTCTTGTAATAGGAAGAACAGCAGGAAGAGAGTTTATATTTAAAAGACTCCCCCTCCTCTACCCTGCTTCCTTTTGACTATAAAATGCTAAGCAGCGAGGAAACAGGTCTCCCGGATGGGTCCGCAGCAGTTCTCGGGGTGTCTTTTTTGAGATCCTTTTCAAAACTGCCAGAGGAACTTCCAGAAACAACTCCTAAATGTAAACATGTAACTTTGTGTTCGCTGGGAGCAGGAAGCAGAGAGAAAAGGAAAATCCTTTTCCGTCTCTCTCACGGCGATTAACCATACTCAAATAAATATTAAAAGCTCGGCAGAAAAGCCCCCCTCTTTTTCTTTAAGCAGGGGCATCCTGGTTCATCCCAGTCATTTAGAGCCCTTAGCGACACATAATTCGACTGGAAATTAATAAACACAGCCCATTCTTGGAAAGGAAATTTGGATGCAAACTCCTCTTATTTGAGAATATGACTTTTTTTCCTCCTTTCATTTATGACAGTCAATTTTAAATGATGTCACTTCAAGGACATTTTCATTCTTTCCCACAACGTATTACACAAAACAACACTTGCCTGTAAAACCGGCTCATTAGCCTGCAAAATTATACTGTACTGAATGGCTTTCATTCAAAGTAGAAATGGGATTTTTAGTAGGCAATTTCTGTATTTTATAAAGATAAAGCAATGTTTGATTGCCTCTTTCCCAGCTGTTTTGCTTAGTGGTTACAAAGAGAAATTGGGGAGCGGGGGGATCCAGTGGGGGCGGGTTTGCAAGGATGTGCTTAAAAAATAAGCCTTAAGACTGGAAAACTCAGGCGGAACTTCAGGGAGTCACTGCGCCCTCAGCTCCCCGTGCGGCAAAGATTTGTCCTCTGGGTGTCTGGGAGGCAGCCCCGAGAGGAGTGAGCGAAGAGGGAGGGACGCGAAAGCGGCTTGGCCGGCGGCAGCGGGAGCAGCGCGCCCAGCTGGCCGCCGAGCTGTGAGAAGGCGCAGTCCTGGGCGGCGGGGAGGAGGCGGGCGCGGGCCCGGGGTCGGCGGGGCTCGGCCCGGGTCGGCGGGGCGCAGAGGGAGCCGCCTCCGGGCGGATGGATTGACTCGGAGATGGGTCGGATTACACCGTTTGCCGTGCGGCGCTCCGCTCGGCTCCAGGTCCAGCTCCGTCCCGCCGCCGCCGCCGCCGCCGCCGCCGCGAGGCTCGGGGGCGGAGAGTTCCAGGCTCCGCCGAGGAAACCGAGACCGAAGGCGACAGGGGCAGCTCGGTTTCCCCATGGCGTCTCTGTTTTCTTCTCCCCCTGATCGTGACAAGCCTTTTATTTTCGCCAGCCTCCTCGCGCCAGTGAGGTAAGCCCGTCCTGCACTCTGGGCGCAGGATTGGGGTGCACGGTGGGGGTCGGACCCGAGCCCCAAGGGCTGACGGCAGCGTGTGTGCGAGGTGCGCGCGCGCGCGCGTGTGGGTGTGTATGCGTGCGTGTGTCGTGTGTGTGCAGTGCCTACCACCGGGGAGTCCATCGCCTCTCCGAGCAGCTCTCTTCCAGCCGTGCCGGGGCACGCGGAGCCGTCCACACTGGCGAGGCGGCGGCTGGGGAGGGCCCTGCTCCGTGTGCTCCCCCCTCCTCTGGAGCCAGGAAAAGTTTCTGGCCAGGCCGGGCACGAGATCGGGGACCCGGGCTGCTCGGCGTCCCCTAGCGCGGAGCGGAGCTGGGGCGCGCGATCCCGCAGCAGCCCCCCGCGGGCGCCCTCCCCTCAGTGCGCCTCGGGGCGGAGCGGCGCCTGGCGGCGGGGGCGGACGCCAGGCGCCTGGGCCGCCCCGTCCGCGTCCCCGAGGAGCGCCAGCCCTTCCCACCCTCCCTCCGTCTCCTCCCCTGCGGCGGCCGGAGCTGCCCGCCTCCCTTCGGGCTCCCCGATCCTGCTCTCGGGCTACTGTCCTCGGCAACTTTCCGCGCTTTGTTCTCCGGCTGCAAATGCGTGGCGGAAGCGTCTTGGACAGGGTCTCCGCCAGGCGGCCAGAGCTGCGCGCGGAGACGTGTGACGCTCTCAGGTCCCTGGCAGTTGTGGATGGAGACAAACCGGGAGCAGTCGGTGCCGCCTGAGCCCCCGCTCCGGAGGCGGCCGGGGCGTCCTGCAGCCGGGAGGGAGCCGCGGCGCTCGGGGCCGTGCTGATGTTCCGGGAAGGTAGGGAAACTTATTTCCCGTCTTGACAGCGGTGATGTTTGTCTGTGGTCTGCAGAAAAGGATACAGCAGCCAGCCTTGGGTAATTTGGAAAGGCTCAGAGCTTCCCCTAGATGTCATCCAGAACTCCTGGATTGAAAGGAAAGGTCCTAAAGGACCTGGAGGTGCTAAGGAGAAATGGGCTTTGAGAAATTTATGCTGAGTGACGACCAGGACCGGGGCTGACCCGTGATTGTTTAAATCCTGGACTTGTAAAAAGCTAAACCTCTTGGAGCTGGGGCAGTGGCAGCCCACTGGGAATTACAGGGTCAGGGGACTAAGGGCTGCACGCAGATGTGCTAGTATCCCAGCCCTCGCCAGTCTCACCGAGGGGACAGCGGATCATTATTGTGGAGTCCTTGGTACACTTAGTAAACAGTAACTGGACCTTATGTCCGCCACCACAGCGGCCTCTTTCCCTTGAAAATAACCATAGTGTTTCCGGTTACTTGGGGGGACACGTCTGGAGGAATCTTTCCCAAACTTCTGGCTAGTGAGAATCTAAGTCTGCAGGAAAAGAAGGTGGGCATTGTGTTTGTAATGTTGTCTTTCTCTCTGCTTAATATTTGCCATAATAAAGTGAATTATTTTTGTTTATTTCAAGACTGAAGTCCTAGGAAAGGGTTTGATTTTCCAAACTGGTGTGTCCCTCGGAATGGGAGACATATTCTTTTGGAGGAAAATTTTCAAGGGTTCTTTTTGTATAGTATTGTGAAATCTTGTTTCAGACAGCTCCAGGGAGGATTTGACTGCCCTTTCAGCGGTTTTACACAATAGGTTTTGATGCTGGTTTTTTCGTGCTGTTAAAAACCAAATGCTCTCACTGTCTTAGATGTCTTAACGGAGGAAGTTAAGTTGTGTGCAGTCATGTTTGACGTAGTGAGTGGCAGGCGCATTCTGTCAAGCTGGTAGATATTACACAAACATTTACTCTGGCTTGGATAAATAGAAATGGTCAGATAAGCTCTGTGATTTGGGTCTATATTGCCACGAACCTAAACATCTTAAGATAAATAAACCGTAGCTCAGACGTAGCTGACTTTTTCGTAGTTAAGTGTTTGTGCTCTTGTTTAGGTCTTGAGAATGTGGCCTCTGAAAGACGGTTTACTAGAGGACCCTAAGATTCCCAAAATTTGCTTCTTCCATTGGCCCATTTGCTTAGATTAGCAACCTGCTACCATTTCTAACTCGATCCCACAGACTATTGTTACCTAAACTCAATTCTGTGAGAGATACTACCTAGAGAACCTATTTTAAGGAACATTTCTGTGATGCAGGACAGTGTGCCAGTAATATTGTGACTTCCCTGTTGCCAGACAGCTGGTTAACTTGAGTTTGATTTAGACTTGTGGGCATTTTGCCCTCTTTTTTAAAAAAAATTCTTGGTGCCCTCGAAGTGCCATCTGGACATGTCTCCCTGGCTTGATGGATTTGAAAGACGGCCGTGACACAAGCCTGTGAGTCCTTAGAATGAGAGCAACTTAGAAATCCTGAGGACTTGGGTCCGCTCAATGGCTGCATGGGGCTCCATCCTGGGCTGTGTTTGGGTGAGTGGGCTTCCGCATCCGCAGCTCGTGTGGTGGTTCCTGTGGCCACAAGAAAGGAAACAGGAGCCAAAGTTCTGATTCACAGAGATGCTCATGCTGCTTAAGGACGTGGGGAAAGTGCAGAAGTTCTTCACTCCTTGCTACTCCACTGTAATGAACCATGGTAATTAGCTTAGTCATTGTTCTTGCGTGTGAGTTTCACTAAGATGCAAAGAGTGAAAAATGCATCTGAAATAGGGTCATTTTTCACTCTTCTGCTGCATTTTATGTGGAGCTAAGAGCCTGGCTGCATGCCTAGCCATTATTACTGTAACCATAGGAGGCGAACTCCTTCCTTAGCATATTGTAAGATAAAGTACTGTCTTTTATTTCAATTAATAGGCTTTAAGTTTGCACCTTCTAGATTCATTTCTCCAGGAAGCAAGAAGCAATTGGAGTGTGCCACCCAGGCAGTATTTATTGGGTACCCATCCTTTGGTCGAAGCTGTGGTAGCCAGTGCTTCAACTCCCGGTGGGCAAGACATGTTTCTGTATGTCCAGCATGGACGGGAATAAAAAGAGATAGAGTAGCAAAGCAGGTCACTTGGCAAGAAACAGAACCATGCATCTTTCTTTTGAAGCACATTATTTAATACTAGAGAGTTTAAAGCAAGATCGTCTTCACCATATATTTACAGTGGTCCAGTCGTCCCGCTTTTAGGACTAAAGATGATACAATACACTGTTAGTATAGTTGGTGTATCGAATCTGTCTTTAGAGGGGGAGATGGGCAATTTCTGGGTCTTATGTGAACGGAGACTTAGTGTGAAAATCTACCAAAGCTGCTGTCTTAGGATGCCAATGATTTCGTGAACAGCTGCCAACTTCCATTGGGAGGGGGTTCTTTCATTTATTCCCATGCCACATGGTGAGAATAAAAATCACGTAACTGTATTAAGCATACTGTACTGCTTTTCAGTTGAGAGGGCTGCTGTTGGCTGTTTTCCCCCCTCAGACCCTGACCACAGCAGTGTTGAAACTGCTTCCATTCTTCCCAACAGGAAAACTACTAAACTTTCTTTGAAAAACAGCCCAAAGCACCCAGGGCAATCTGATCTGTGGGCCTTGCAGATCCCACATGAGGTGTACTTACTTCTCAAACTTTTCTCTTCTGTTAGTCTTTTGTTCTCTCACCCAGATTAGCATTTTAACAACCCTGAAGTGAACTCCTGCCATTCTCTCTACTTGGACACAGTGTGTAGCTCATCCATCATTCTGTCCTTGGCTACAACAGGCTGCTGGCACCATCACGATTTGGAGCTACACAGAATCCATCCGACTGTGAACAGCACAGCTGGCTACAGCAATTTTTCCTTCCACACCACTGGCAGCACTGTCTGGCTGTGGTAACTAAAGTTAACACCCACAACAGGAAGTTTCCATTGTTCTGCAGCCTGTGCCAGCCCCACATCCAGGCCTGGATGTGCACCTGCCTACAGGCCCTGCTGGCTTGACCAGGCACGCTACACCTGGGCGGCATCTTCTTGACCTTCTGAGAACTCGCAAGGGCTCTCTGGGCTTCATGAGATTAAACCACCAGAATCACAGAGCTAGAGGAGCCGTTCAGACCCCATTCACCCCACACTCTCCATGCCAGGGCAAGGAGAGGCATGAAGGCACCTTCAGCCCGGGATCCCATGTGGCTGAAGACAGAGGAAGACCTGCCTGGTGCTTTCCCAGTGCTTCCTTCCTTTCCACAACAGACAGAACCGAATACGGATCCGTCAGCACCCAGCGCCTTCTAGCACTTTGTTCTGCTTTGTTTGCTCCTGTTTTCCTGATTAGCTATTCATTCAGTATGTGGATGCCCTTTTAGGTGATATAGCCAAGCTTTCCCGTTTGTTTTCTAAACTGTTATAACTAGGGATGCTACTTTTGGAGTTGCATGGGCACCAGAGAGACCATCTCATGTCTTAGTGTCGCTTAGCTAGTATTTTATCTTGTCTGCCTCACCCTGACTAATGAAATTAAGCACAACACAGCTGGGAGGAGGAGGAGCACAAGCAACACACCTCACTCTGAATGTTATTTCTGCTCATTTGGGTCTAGACGCCATCATAAGGTCTTCATCTTGCTTATATCCTGCACCCCTGAGAATAGCTGCATGAAGTAGGCTCTGTTACTATCACTGCTTTAGCAAAGATGGCACCGTGGAACTGAAAAATAAGTCATTTTCATATGGACACACAGTGGGGAGGCACTGGAGTCAGGACTGGCACTCAGGTCTCTGAACACATCCTTCACGTTTTCATCGCTGGGCTGAGTTGATCGTGGAAACACGCCCCACTGTGCAATTTCTGTCCATTTGATATTTCTCACTATGCATCATGTTTTGGAGGAGGGAAATTTTTATACTGAATGAAGTATTACCAAGATGGGTGCACTCATTCACCATAACCTTTCTTCTAAGCTAAATCATTTCATAGTCCTCTTGCCCCTTTATTCCTGTTGGCCAAATAAATATGACACATTTTTCTCTTCAAGTATCACAGAACAGTTCCGTCTCCCACCGTTTTTCTTCAAATTGGGCTCCCCTGTCTAGAATT